GAAGATGCTGGTCCAGTTTGATTGTCGCCGCGGGCAGGAGAACGAGCATGGCATGCTTGTTAGTGAGTAACGGCTTCTCCAAAAGAAAAAAGTCAAAAGGTTGCATTCTAACTGCGTGTTACTCCTGGCAGGAGCGGAAAAACTGGCTACAGGAGAAGGACGTGCCAACTCTCAGGAAGAGAACCGTGGCGCTGCAACGTCAAGAGCTGCAAGACCATCTTTGTGACGGGTGTGTCAGTGTTGGGCTTATGGGCATACTTTCATGGAACATTTAAGGGGCAACCATGCAGACTAGTGCACATACGCGGTTTTCACACCCACTCTTCCATACGTGAGGCAGCGTTGAGAAGGAGCTTTTGAAGATTTCCTCACCGTCCCCTGCTGGGCGCATCGAGTTTGAAGAGAAAACTAAGAGCTTCCAAGCATTCTTTGATACTGGAGGGGAATCTATCCACAAGCCCTTTCCATCTCTGCGTGATTGCACTGGGTGGCTGATGAAGATGGATGTGTCCAAGAAAAAGGGCCTGTTGGGGAAGGGCATGGCGTTGATGAGTCGTCCGCCGGTCAGTGACCAGGTTCCGTGGCTGACAACCCTGCTGCTTGTTTTCTTGATACATATATATATATACACAATACCTATATATTTGTAGAGTATGACACTTGGCTGGGGGAGTGTACGCATTCTATCTGCCATTGCGAGGCTATGACAAAGGCGATGAATCTCGCTCAGTCCTGCGGAGAAACTGATGTCACAGCCTTACTTGGGACAACAAAGCAGGACCTGAGTGGCCATGAAGACATCACCAACACGATTCTTGAAGTTCCCCAAATACCACTTGGTTCAAATCCTCCATCGTCAACAGTGGTATGCCAAAAGGCTGCTTTGGTCAGCTTTCAGTCATGGACTTTCAGGTCACCAGAGATTGTTGGGGTTTTGCTCGGATCTGTACAGGGGAAGAGGACAGTGGGGCAAAGCCTTGTAGTTGGAGAAACGTATGAGGAGGTCATTGGCAGCCAGAAGGTTCCGGTTGTGTGCGAGCGGGAACAGCTGTTTCCGTGTGGTGTGGTGTTCTGCGCCGGAGACGACGTGTGCAAGAATCGTGAGCGTGCTATTCACTACCTGTCGGATATCAAATCTCGTGGATTTGAAGACCCACTTTGTGTGATGGTAACTGGGTTCTGCTGAACTCATTTTCTGGATTTTTTTGCTGGCGTTTATAAAAATATATATATATATCTGTATCGATATAATATATATATATATACACAGGGCTCGTTCTTCTATACACAGAAAAATTCTAAAAAGAAACACTCTTAGAATGCCACCTGTGGTTCTCTCCAGGTTGACCCTTACGAACCCGCGGAGATGTCCTGGGTGCAATTGGAGACTGGTTCCGCACAAGGGTTGTCTGCAGTGTCAGCCGTGTTTGGTCATCCCAAGCAGTGCAATTTGGCCAATATTTTGAGAATCGATTGCTTGCTGGAGACCAGTAGAGGCAGGCTTTTTGCAAAGGTTGTGAAATCCGTTGTGAGTGCCGTCAAGGAGGCTGCCCAGCCTCCACCAGCACCAGCAGAAGAGATGCAACCATACCACCTAGTAAAAATAGCTGGGGATGGCCGCTGTGGCTGGCGCGGAATCCTGGCTTCTGGTGACTTCAGCAGCTTCATATCCGTGCCAAGGTCGGGGTTGCAGTATGTCTGTCTTGGCCAAATCGACAGGCATTCTATCTTAGACTTCTCTTGATATGTACTGTATATAAACCAATACAAGTAGACTTTTTGCGAACTGTTGGAATGATGGCCTGTAGGAATGATAGCGGCTATCCAGTGAACCGTCGCCAAGACCAAATGGAAGTAGCTGAGTCCAGAGAGCTGTGCAATGATGTTTGTTCCCTGCCATGATTAGATCTCTCTCGTCTATGCATTTTTTTAGTCCTTGGAAGAACCCGCCAATGCAAAGTCAAAGGTATGCATTCCATCTGTTGTTGCTAGGTGGGTTTCCACATTGTTCCACAGTTTTGAGCCTAAGGCGAACGTGCTATGACAATATTCCCACACTTGGAGGCAACAATTCGTGATGTGCAGAACACATCCGTCATTGGTGTGATTGACTTGCCTTGGATATCTTCTGCCTTGGGCAAATCAATCCGGCTTACGGTGCATCCTGAATTGATGGTTTGGATTCGGGAGTCTGGGCATGCAGAAATGCGAGAAGATACCATCTTCGGTGACCGTTCTGCTCCCATTGGGGTCCACTTCTACCTAAGCTGGCTTCGACATGAAGACGGGAGGAAATATGGGCACTTTGATATCTTGATGCCTTCCATGTCAAAGAAGGAGGAGTCAATGATGCTACTGCCAGATGCGGCTTGGCAAAGCTGACCTGTATATAATATGTATATATATAATATATATATATATAATATTGCATATGTACACTCTCAAAGGATATCATATTGGAACGTTTCCTAGGCACTTGTGGGGCCTCCTCCCAATTCTTTGAAACTCTTGCTCTATCAGGCCTGCTTCCATGGAACATGTCATAATTAACAAAACCCTGGCCCCTAAACCGTTTGTGAACTGGGACAGGACAGTCCAGCCGCGGCTTCTGGGCAGGAGCTGTTGGAGGACTTGTTGGAGGAGCCGGAAGTGTCTTTTTTTCCATTGTCTGGTGGGCTCTGGTGCACAGATAGAATGCCAGGGTTGCTCTGTGGAACCATGTAAAAAATCGAAACAAAGCACTTGGCTCTAGCAGGCAAAATAGACCTGTATATTATATTTGTGCTCATGGCGCTCCTGTCATGCTTTGCAGCCGCTGCGGCGTTGCTGGTGGCTTCTTTCTTTGGAGATGAGAGGGCCACCGTCGAAGGTGGAAGTAATCTGACTGCTTTTGGGCTGGCCATCTTGGTCTTCCTGCTGTCAGAATGCCTGGGCTACCTTTGGGGCAAGAAAAGCATTGACTACAAGCATTGGTTAGAGCTCAAGGTAGAAAACACCAGTCTTCAGCAAAAGGTGGATGAACTATCACGCCAACTGCTTAGTCTGGAGGAGAAGCACGGAGCTGCTTCATCGTCGACCATTCAAAAAATCGTGACTGCTGGCCACATCATGCCTACAGAGATTCTTGTGGCCAAAAACAGCATGGTTTATCATGTGGATTGCCATCACGTGAGAAGACGTGGGGCCCAATTCACCAAGCTCCGTCCTTGTCTGGACTGTGCCGGCAGGAACTTGAAATAAGATGACGTATGATATGTGTGTGTACAGCCGGTAGAAAGGACCTCCGCCATAGTGGAGTTGGTGAGGAAAACATGCTGATGGATGATCTGTTTCGCCTGCGTTCTTCAAGTGTCTGTACTGTTACAACAACAGATGGAATGCATGTTTTTGAAGGAGTTCATGGTTCAGCCGGATGAGCAGAAGGGCTTCATTCCTGAACCCCCAGAGGCACAATCACCTGGAATGTCATTTTCTGAGTTGCAGAGCCTGATGATGTTGACAGTTTTCCTTCTTTATGGACTTGTGCAGGCCCCAACCACGGAGCCTACCAAGATGGAACCCACCATGGAGACCCAACAGGTAGAGGGAGCACTTGTTTACAGCAGCTCACACACACAGATGGAATGCAGGCATTTTACATTTGTATTTATTTATATTGATCTATTATGTGATATTATGTGTTTATATACAGACTCTGGTTTGGGGCCGGTATCCACCTGACAGGCCTCTCCCATCC